CCGGCAACCATGCACAGGTTGACGTCGAAGATTTTCCGGGGATTGAAACAGACAAGATCGTTTTACGATGATATCTACATCTTCACTAAGTCGCAAGATGTGAACACTCACTTGGAAGTTCTACGGAAAACACTGGATATATTGCGAGACAACAAGCTTTACGTTAAGCTGGCCAAGTCTATGTTCTGTTCCTCGGAGATTCCATGTCTGGGAGACTTCGAGGGACGCAATGGTGTACGAATGGATCCTGTCAAAGTGCAGACGATTCGAGACTGGCCGGTTCCGAGAAATCAAGAAGAGCTACATAGTTTTCTTGGGCTCACTGGCTACGTTCAGCGCTTTTGTCCGGAATATGCGGCTCTTACTGCAACCATGTTCAGTCTGCTCAAGAAGCAGAAGAAATGGAATGCCAAGATCCACTTCAGTGACGAACAGCTCAAGAACGTCAAGGAACTCAAGCGACGATTATGCAATCCACTCGTACTGCATCTTCCGGATTTCAGTCAGCCGATGCATCTACCGACGGATGCCAGTAAGTTTGCTGTTGGCGGGGTGATGTTTCAAATTAATGACGGAGTTGATCGTCCAATTGCTTACACAAGTCGAGAGATGAATGCAGTGGAGCTTAACTACCCGACACAATAGCAAGAGCTACTAGCGATTGTACATGCGCTAGCTGCTTTTCGGATCTACTGTTTGGACAAGTCACCGATTGTGGAGACTGACCACAAAAGCTTTGAAGGTCTGTTCACGCAAAAGATGGGTAACCGCCGGCTCGCGCGATGATATGATATCCTAGCTGAGTATCAGCCAATATTTTCTTATCTTCCTGGAGCGACGAATGGGATCGCAGACGCGCTGAGCAGAAGACCCGACTTACAGCCAGAAACGAAGTACTTCCATGACTTAAGTGTCACTGGTTCTAACGACACTTCGTTCAGCTTGTCCATCATCGAAGTATCCTCAGATGCCGAGCTTGTCACCAATATCAAGGCAGCGTATGTGAAAGATCGCGATATCCAAGTGATACTTGCAGCCATAAAGCGACGTACCGAAACGGTGAAGCAAAAAAACAAGTGCGAGCACCGGAAGAAGTACAGGCTGTACGCAGAAAACAGTGGTTTGCTCTGGTACCAGACACCAGCAGACAACTTACCACGGGTTGTCGTCCCAAACGATGTGAAGCTTCAGAACGAGATCATCAGCGAGTGCCACGACTCCAATTATGGTGGACACCCAGGTGCGGAGCGAACGTACCTGACCCTAGCTAGACGGTGGTATTGGTCGAAGATGTTAGCGTCGATACAGAAGTTCATTGCGGATTGCGAACAATGCAGACGCAATAAGCCTCGGCTAACAAAACCAGGTCTTCTCGAACCTTCGAGCATTCCGGATGAGCGATGGAGATCCATCTCTATGGACTTCATCACTGACCTGCCTGGGACGAAGAACAAGGTCGGCTCGATAAGGGTTGTTGTGGATCGCTTGACGAAGAGATGCCACTTTGTTCCGACGACGAAAACTGTGACGACAGAAGGTGTTGTTTAACTGTTCGTGAGTCACATCTGGAAGCTCCATGGTATGCCGACCAACATTGTCTCCGACCGTGACAGCAATTTC